TTATTGAGTTTTCTTGTTTGTTCCTGCCCCCAAGGGGGGGGGGGGGGGGGGGCAATTAAAAAGTTACTATTATAAAAACTCTAAGCTTTCTAATTGAACAGAGTTGCAAAACTGATTGTGCTTTTTTGTCTAAATTAGCCAGCTGTAGATGTTCTTCTGAAAGTTTTTGAGCATGTGGCTGCTTTGAATATAAGAGATGCTGTGCCTACATTAATCAATACTTTTTGTAAGGTATGAGTCTGATTGTACTACTGCTACTTGTTGGAATTTCTGAAATAACCTTGCCTGTTTTAAAACTCAAACATATCACTTTAATATTATTTTAGTACTGTTTTTTAAAAGTTACATTGTAACTAGCTGAATTTGTGGTACAGGTTTCTATTTATCCCTTATTTTTTGACTGAGATTCACTCTGACATGTTTTTCCCACTTGCCTCTGGAAACATGTAAGTGATCACAATTTTTTGTATGCTTACTTTTCTTCCCCCTGTTTGATATTACAGCTTATTGATGCAGGTATGTTCCTTGAGTTTGAACATTTTGACTATATTATTAAGTTCCTTCACCAATTGCAAGTTTCCAGTCAGGAAATAAATACTGTTTTGAACATAAAATCCAGGTATGTCTTTAAGGAGCTATTTTATAATTATATCTGTCTAGTTCCTTCCTCAGGTTCTATTTTTATAAATTTATTTTAAAACTTTAAAAGGCAATTAGAAAATGCAAATTTAGTGTTTTGGATGAAAATACTATCATATTGTGCCTAATTGTATTTTAAAGTGCCGTCAATCTGTTGTGCTTTAAAAATCAAGGATTGTTAAGTCAAAGCTTAGATTCTGACCACAGTTATGATTAATTTTTTCCATATTGGTCATCATTGTATAATCTGTTCCCAGCTGTGCTACAAGTTTATATAACTGTAGTCAAATTAGAAGCATCATGGTTAAATAGATCTTTCAGGCCTGCATAAGCAAACAGTACTTCTGCAATGAACAACTCTTCTAGGCAATAAGAAGATTAGTTATAATCTGAAGTAGTTTTCTATTTTCATTTCTTGTGCAACTGTATAAACACTTGTGCCAACAGAACTAGGCAGGAGGGTCATTTTTTAAGTACTGCTGCATTATGCTGGACAAAATGTGAAATCGCAGCCCAAATCTGTTCCAAAACTGTTGATGTCTCCTTTTCCTCATCTGCATCATACTCACACATGCAAGTTGAGAAACTAAACTTGCGATTCATAAAGCAACCTTTGATTCTTAGGGGAAACCAAATATGCAGCATCTACGGTGTGAAAACAAGCCATCACTGTTTCAAGTGAAAGCACTGTAGAAATTATTTGCTGCTTTTCATACTTTTCCCATAGAGTACCTTTCAGCCATGGATCTCAGTGTTTTACTAGTGCAACTTACCACACATGTTGGAGGTAATTTTTATCACTTTTCAGATCAGGAATCTGATTCACAAAGGAATGACCCCTTCCAGGTTGCCTCAGTATGTATGTGTTTTCAGCACAAACTGAGAAACAGTCTGTATCTATGAAGACTGAGCAGCTGTGCTACTTCAACTACATGTGTTAGCACATTCATGTGTAGGTTATGTATCCCTACATGATAGCATCGCACTGGGTGGATGTATCCATTGTTTCAGTGGCAGCATCAGAATAAAGTATTATGCTCCTAGCTATTTGAAGATGCATAGCACTTTCTTTTATGTAATTAACTTTTTTTTTTTACCTTTATGTCAGAAATACATACCATACAGTTCTGCATTTACTTAATGGATTGCAAGTCTTATTCCTACCTTTTCAGTTACATTTCTACTGAGACAAAGGAATATTTTCTGTGAAAATAGCTCTGCCCAGTTATTTGCCTAATACATGTACTGACTTCCCTTGGCATGATTGTAAATGTCTGTTTTCAGTGTCCAGTTTGCATAGTGTGTAGTAAATAGGATCAAAAATGACATCATTTTTTAATTCATATATGATAATTTGTTGATTGCCTTCTGCTAGTGCATAGGTTAGTTCAATAGGATGTGTTAAGTATTAATATTTCTTTCTTATGGAAGATTTCAGGAAAGACATTTTGAAAAGAACTGGCTTTTTGACTTTAACTTGGCAGTGGCTGAAATTCAGGTACAGTACATGCATTCTTCAAGCATGTTGGAATACTGAAACCGTGACTTCTTTTAAACCTAGAAGAAATAGCAATTTCTACATAACTTAAAAATAGTGGTTATTATTATTAACCATATCGAGATTATGATAAAATATTTTTATGCAAAGCCATGTTTGGGAAAGATTAACATGCAGGGGAAAACTATCTTTGGCTTTTCTGTAATGTCAGTATTTTAATTTACATACTTGTAGATTTTATCTTAGTTTTGCATCTAATTCAAAGATTTTATAGGTTTAAGCAATTATTTCCTATGCCTTAACATTTGTTATGCTTGTAATTGGTAGTGGTACGTCATTCCTCGCTGAAAAATTATTTAATTATTATTTATTATATAATTATTTAAAAGTATATTGTTTAGCAGATAGAATTCATATCTAGTATAAAAAGGCACAATTGTAAAATGCTGTAATTGGCAACACTAAACAGGTATTTTAAAGAATAAGAAATTAGTATAAAAAATTCTTTAATTGGACACTTGCATTTTTCATATTCAAGGACAGATTACTTATTATGCACAATTATAATATAGTTTACATATTATCACACTTACTGCACAGTTCCTGAGACCAAAATTTAAGAAGGGAAGAACCAGGACCGATTTTTTACTCCTTTAAAACCAAAGTCATCAAGTGATCTGGCAAGCAAAAGACTAATTCATATAGAAAATAACCATCCATTTGGCATGCATCATGCAAAAAAAAGATAGTAAAATAGTGGATGAATGCCAGTTCTTAAATAGGATGAATAAGTTATGAGGGTCGTGACATAAATGGAAAAAGGATTTCAATTTCCTGAGGGACAAAAGTGATTAGCAGTCCACGCAAGTTAGGCAACATGTAACTGTGCCATATTGAACATGGAGTTCTTGGCAGTAGTGTTTCATCTGCATCTTTTTTCTGCTTTAAGTCTATCCTAGGTGTATCTCTCGAATTTCAATGTATTTTCTGCCTGGTGTTCTGGAAGCAGGTTCGTTAATATTTATCCCTTGCCTTCTTCGCAGCATTGCAAGGAAAAAAGTGATTGGACCAAACTAGGATCTTTGTATGTTTATGCGAGAACTGGATGTGAACATTTTGATGATCTTCAGAAACTGTCTTTATGTATTGTTGAAGTACTAACTAGAGATTCAGAGACAGACAGACCAGGAGTTCCTTTTTGTGATTTTGCTGATGCAGGTAAAATTAAGATTTTTGTTCATCCCTATTCTTTGTAAAGTTTTTAAAGGAAGTAAAAAAACAAATTCATATACTGTTTTCTGAATATTAGTTAATTTTACATGTTACAATATTCATGATTTCTTGAGGTGAAAATACAGTCAGCTGAAACACTCAATAGAAGCCATTTTCTAGTAGAAGTAAAATCCATAGTGCTTGTACTTAAAGAAAGTTCTGAAGGAAGAACATTTGAGCTTTGTGAAATCAAGAAGAGAAACCAGAATTGGTGGTCTTTTAATAAGAATGTCCTGTTCTCAGGACAAAGGCAAACGTATTTAAGTATTGCCATGTGAAGTGTCACACTCGTAATAGCATAAATAAACTTTAGAGCTGTAAATACAGCTATATATATACTCGTATATTTCAAAACACATTGAACAGGGTTACATCATATATATCATTTGTACTTTTTTTTTTTTTAGTAATTTGGATTTTCAGAATTATTTTATTTTCTAAAGAACCAAGAATTTCTGCAAGGACTGGGTCCACAAAACACCATCTAGTTTTTTAATAGTTCTGGCAGGTTTTCTTACCCCTTTCCTCCCTATGCCCCTTCATTTACATATCTGTATCATTCTTCCTAGTAAGTTTGCAGAAAACTGAGGCTCAGTGAGGTGTCAGTGGGTTATGAAAGCATTTTATAATGGATGACTCAGATCTTTTTCAACCTGTATTAACTACTAAAACATGATGAATATATTCCAGATATGTGACATGACCTTTCTGACCACAGACTTTCATGTTATAAAACAGGTATCACAGTTTCCAGTTGTGACAGACAGAAGACTTTGGCGGGGCTTGGAACTTTGTCTTCCATAGAGCAGTGGTCTCCAAACTGATAGACACCTCTATCAGTAAAAAATTTCTAAGCACTTGCCCCCTATTTATTTATTTATTTAATACATGTACTACTGCACTAATATATTAAGTACATTATAAAACATACACAAAACCAGAAATTAAAAAGATGAGATAAAGATTAAATAAACACTACTTTTTATAATGTTTCAATTTTTTTTTTTTTTAATGGTACAAAAAATACTTTCTTCCCACACCTGAATGGATTGTTGTGCTCACACCCCACTTTGGAGACCACAGCTCTAGAATACCAACAGTGCTTCCAAAGTGGTTGTATAATATGGTTGGACAAACTTGTAATTACTCAGTTCTGTTATTGCCAACATTTCTTCATGGTGCCAGAAAATGCAAACCTTACTTTACAAATAAGGTTGTTACTAAATTATGCCATTACATGTTCAAGCATCTTATGGATGAATTAGACTACTATGAAATAGTATCTAAATAAACTATAGTTATTTACCCTACTTCTGATGTTAATACCTAGGAAGTTACTACATTTAATGGCAAATATTTCGGAAAGTATATTTAATTTTTTCACAATGACTGTGTTTTTCAAGTGTGTAATTTCTTGAAAACTGCATTTACATGTAAAATTTAAAAAAAAATATTTTTTTTCTTTCCAGTAATAAAAAATTCACAACATAATGAAGCAGACAGAATTTTCATTGGAAGGAGTGGGATAAGCGTAATGTATTCTTATCACAAAGCACTACAGTGGATAAAGGTATACTGGACTATAGAAACCTGACTGGAAGAAAATTAATGAATCATTTCTTTTCTAGATGTTAAACTGTGTTTCTCTAGTTCAATGGCTGGATGTGCCACCTGCCTCCCCACCATCTTAGTACTTCTTAATTGTCCGGCTGGATCAAAGCATTTTATTGTGCTTTTCTGAGCAGTAGTCTTCTGTGGAACCCATTGTAACTTTGTCTTGCAACCTAGAAACTTGATTGTTCAAGTTCAGCTTTTGATTTTTCTGAGCTAAGGATGAATCTGGATTAGGAGACAGTCTTCCTGAGATTCTGGGGTGAGGTGCTGATGGGATTGTTTCCCAGAAATGTCACTTTCTTCCATCTGGCAATACTGCTGTATTCTGAGACCTCCCAACTCAAGCAACATTTACAGAAGTTCAAGTGGGCCCTTTCCTGCACTGATCCTTCTGAACCTGATGTCAAATAGAATGGATAAGGCCAGGAAGATAGAAGAGAAGCATAGCAAGGCTGCTATTGTACTTGGTGAACTGCTCATTCCTTAGAACATCACTAGAAGTGGTTTTCTTTCATTGAGTCTAGGGTTCTAAGTTCTGTGAATCTTGCAAAGACTTGGACCTCACAAAGAAACACCCTTTACAATCCTTTCTTTGCTGTCAAATATTACAAACTGCCAGGGTTAAGAGACAAGACGTTTCACTGGATGTTTTACGTTCTTTAGGCATGAGTGTGAGGCCTGATGATGCAGTTTTGATCGTAAGTTCACTGCAGCAAGATCCATTTCAATGTTAAATTTGTCTTTTTCTTCCTGTAAGGAAGTAGTGTATACCAAGCTGGATCTCATATACAATGCAACATGACCAGTGACAACATAAGAAATAAGATAAATCACCAATGACTTTGGAGTGTATTTTTGTCAGTGATCACATTCTGAACTTACCTTTGTGTCAATGGGCCTGATCTTACAACTAACTATGCTGTAGTGGGATGTTCCTCATCCCATGCAAGATGACTTCCAGCATGTATTTTTATGAACAAAAGCAAACACTCTCCTTGTCCCCTTTTGTCTCTTGGGGTTTTTTTGAGAATTATTGTCGAGGAACCCTTTCTAGTTTGCATCAAAGGATTAAAATGTCTTTTGTACTATTGTCTCTAGGGGATAACCTTCAGGAATTCTGTTATGTAAAACCTGTGCACTGCTCAGTCTGTTTCCAAGGTCAACCCAAGACCCAGGAGATATTTGATAGAGGTGCTTAGTCTAGAGGCAATACACCCGTTTTGATGAATCATTAATTTTTCACCATCACCTTGTTGAGTTGAATGGTCTTTAGCATGTCCCTATCAAGCTGCAGCACAGTGTGGTACTGTTGAGGAATAAAGGGAAGGAGAAGAGAGTCTTTGCATTAGCACTTTTGTAGTACTGCACTAGCACTTTTCTAAGCATTTTTGTTCCACAAAACTCAGCAGTTAGAACAGTTAAGATATTCCTGGCCATAGAAGAGGTAGTCTAAATTTTTGGCATTGAGGAGCAGTCAGTGCTCACACGCTCACATCGAAGAGCTTAGTTTGACTTGGGTTTTGGCTGTCTTCTTCAGCAGAGACAGCATATATTCAGTGTTTGTAGGGAAATGCCTTCATACATTTTAGCTATTTTCCAGACTCATCTTAAGGGAGATCCTGATATTCCGGTTGCAGGACCTCTGATATTCCAAGGAGGTTCATCTTCATGTCCTAATTTCAGAGGTGCAAGGTGTCAAAAGCATGTGTAACGTTTTCCTTGTATAACAAGAGTTACTAAAAGTACACAGTTCTTATGATACTATGATTTTTTTTCATGTCTAGAGCAAAAAATCATTGCTTCTTTGAGAATGTTGTGTTAGGTATCAGACCCACCTCTCAACAGACTGCTCACCAAGATCCTCAAATAGCCTTGTAGACAGCCTATGTTGACCATATGGGAGTGTGAATAAGGCTGTGCTCTGAATGATTTTTATCAGAACTGGCGGATCCCAAATTGATCTCTGCTTCAGAGATGAACTAGAATGGTCATTCCTACTTCTCTGCAACCAGCATCACTCCATTATATGTATTGGGTAAGTCCCTAATCCTGTGATTATGGGCTAATTATCTGCTTGATCCCATGTCTTATTTCTTCCAAAAAGTGGTCCAGAAAATAAAATAGTGATGGATTTGTTCTTCCTGCTGTACCCGAAGTAATTTTGGCTTTAGGACATGCCCTATGCCATTTTACGAATGTGTTGGACTGCCTAAAGCTCTAGATGTGCTTTTCAGATCACTTTCCCTGTGTGAACATTAAACTTCTTTAGCATGTAGCTTTGATGCTTGGTGGTTCTCAGGGGTAAAATACATATGCTTCTTGGTCCTGAAGAGACTATTCTTTGTAAGAGCTAAGGAAAGTTCATAAAACAGATGTACTTCGAATAAACATGCAAATTTGAAACATGTGAATAGGTCTTCCATGAAGACAGCTCTTCAAGCAACACTAGTCTACTTTCTGGATATTTACTTGTAGAGAATCCTGCAACATTAACGCTCCTTTGGCAACTATTTCATCCACTTCCTATTTCTAATATTTCCTATCTTGAGGAACTTTGCTATGGTTTATTTTTACCCAACCTTATTTTCAGAGGATTGGTCAGAGGTTCTTGTCCAATTAAGGATCTCATTCCACAACTGCATTTTAATTGGGTGCCCTTCCTTTACAGATCATGTGTGTTTATAGCTGCATGCTTTCCATCTTTCTATAAAGACCCACTTAGTAGCCCTTCCTTTTGCTAGAAGGATAGAATAGATGCAGATCCTTCTTAATTTTGTATTTTGTTTCTGGTTTGCACTTAGACTTCAAGTATCTATTTTGCTGTCAAAGTTTCACCTGAGTCTTTCTGGTGTATATTTTTTCCCTTCAACCACATACATCTACAGTTGAATGGGTTCTTTACACCTTAAATGTTAACTGCAATGATGTAGTTAGTATTCTTTTATGGGTTATGCTGAGATAAACCATTGCAGATTCCTGTAGGCCTTCAAGTCTCCAGTTTGAGCATATGTCAGTCCACAGTATGTATCTGCATATGCATAAAGCATATTCAAAAAACGAGCTTCCTAATAAGTAAGTTTCATTTTCTGTCAACTTCTCTGTTCTCCTAAACCTCCCTTTCCCTCTACCTCCACGATCCTTGTTGCACCACCACAATGTGTGCACACACATGACCGCAGTTTTTAATAAGCCACCTCCTCATTGATGCACCCACTAAGCAAGAACTGAAACATGTCTAGTTTGGAGTTTTGTTCGTGTTGCTTCACCAGCAACATGCAGCCAGACAGGACAAGGGGTGAATCCTGCCTGTCCTTGCCTTACTGGGGACATTAATTTGATATCTCACCTTGGTGCAATCATCATCTTTTCTAGATTGGTCCGATCTTAATTATCTTTGAGACTGCTACCTTTCTTCCATCTTTGACTGAAAAGGCCAACCAAAAAGTTGTTAAGAAGAAGCTTCTGTAGGAAACCAGTCTAAATATCAACCTGGAATATGATAAAGTTGTTGGTTGTTATCCTGTTGGCCAGATAAGCCCAACTTTTTTCATCTTACTGTCCTGCTGGGTACAACTATCTGGTTTTTTTGGCTTATGTTGGAGTAATTATTTCAGTTTAATGATTATGCCTCTGCTGCAAAATGAAAGCTCTCTGTATGATTAGAATTTTATAGGTTGTGTAGTGCTGAATGGAATCAAGAGTAAAAATATACTAAAGTAAGCAAATATAAATTAATTACAAAGTATCTTAAAAATACTATATAGGAACATTATATAGTAGAAATAATGTTATGGGGAATAGTGTGCTAGGAACTGTTTGACAGTGGGTTGGTGGAGTTTTTTTGCCTACACGTTTTTTTTCTCGACTTAGTTTGGATTACTAAACTGATGCCTATAAATCTGTATCATCGAATTAAATCTGCTTATTTTGTGTAAATATACTGTGTTCACTGATGTCATTGTTTTCTCTGACCTTCCCCCTTTCCCTTCTCCTGCTTATGCTAGGGAAGGAAGGTTTTGGATAAATTGCATGAGTTACAGATACATTTTACAGTCTTGAAAGGACTTATAGGTACAGAGAGGTTAGCATCAAGATGTCAAATTGTTAATAAAGCTGCAGAAATTTTTCTTAAAACTGGAAGTTTGAATGGAGCGACATGGGTATTAAGAGGTAAGCTTGTCTTATAAAAAACTAAGTTTTGACTTAAATTTGAACAGTCCCCACCTATGACAGATTTCAGATAAAAGTTACAAGCTGGTCTATGTTATTAAATAAAGTTAATGACACTGGGGCAACAAAAATAAAATGTGATCCATCTTACTGGTTAGTATTATTCTTGATATGTGTAAGAAATATTATGACTAATACTAAATTTTTTTTTCAGGAAAGTTTTCACAGTAGTCTGCCATCAACACCATTCTACTCAAAAGCCTGCCATAAAAAGGCAGGGGTGCAGCATGGAAAGTGACCCTGCCCCATGTAGATTTCCTTAAAGCCAGGTGACATTCAGTGTCAAAAAAATTTCAGGCTTGGGTCAATGCAGTGTTTCTTTACCCCTCACAGTATCCACATTTAGTAAAATAGCTTTAGAATAGTACCACATTTCTGCAATTAAATAACATGTAATTACTGGCTTTTTGGAATTCTGAGCTGCTGAAACGAGAAGAAACTCGGAAGTATAAACAACAGTAGAAGGCGTTCTACAAAGTAATACTGAGGATCTAAAATTTGCTATTCAAGTTCATATATGTATATAGATATATACATACTTATACATACATATACCACTGATAGTCCATTTTACTACCATGATAGTTAATAAAAGGGGTTATTTACTATATAAAGGTTCAGAGAATCCATCAGAGAAGTATTGGTGATAAGGAATGAATTATTAATAACTAGAACTGCATTTTCTGTGAAATTCTGAAATTTGTTTTCTGCTACAGTTTGCAGTATATTCTCAATGGCCAAAAGACTCAGCGTCCAGCAGTTTCAGTTCATAGAAATAACTCTGCACTGTTGTTTGCCACAGAGTCAGAGTGGACCACAAATGCACCATCGTGGCCCTGTGATAAAATGGACATCCTCAGTCGACATAATCTGTTATCCACACTAGTGCACAACTACTTGAGGAAGAGTTTATACAAGCAGGCATTTGAAGTTCTGCAGAACTTGCCAGGTTTTCAAAATCATTCTGGTAAGTAAAGAAAAAGGTACTGTGTTAAGAGCTAAAAATTTAACAGATGATTCTGTACTGTTCATTTTGTTTGTTTTCCGGCTAAAATTTGTTGAAGAAGTAAGATGGTTTTAGACAAGCCCTTTTTTTTTTTCCAGAGCATAGTGTCAGATAAAATATGTATTGCACTCTGCAGCTCTTGCCGCACACACATGCACGTACATGCACACACACAGAGTTTATACACCTATCCTCTTCTTCCAGTTGGCTCAGTTAGACAGGGCAACAGGAAAGACCCACTAAATTTTTAAGAATCATACGTATTCTATACAATAAGATAAAATAGGGATATCATTGGGGCAATTCATTTTATCCTAACTTCAGATGAATGTGTTGTTTTCTATAACTGAGCTAGCTAACCGAGGCTTCTTTTACATACCATGTTAAGAACTGAGTGCTCTTTCCAGTTCAATTTACCTGACAAATTTTGGATGTGTATTTCCAAGATGCGATGTGTAGTTACTTATGCTCCACTGAGGAAACGTCAGCTGATTCCTGTATGTAGGTCTCAGTCCTATTGCCAGTGTGTGCTTTTAGGTATGTTAGGAGAGCTTAGTTGGAAGACCATCTACTTAGAGAATTCTAAAAGGATCTAGTCCTTTGGGTCATGAAGTAGATACAAGACTGCTCAGTCCTGCCAAGCAGGGGACGGTTGAGAGGAAGTGGACAGTTCAAAGTTAGGATAGAAGCAGAACTTGAAGCACCAAGTTGATATTGATTGGTGCAAATTTTAAGTCTGAGAGATCAGGTGAAGATTGTATTTATAGGCTTGAGCAAGTGAATATGTTTTTATCTGATCTTGTTGCTTTAGGCAGCAAATTACTACTTGGACCTTAACACTTCACTTTCACAACTAAAAGTGAAACATTAGTTTCTAGAACTAGAGTTTCACTAGAACATTAGTGAATGAACTAACTGTATGAAAAGACTTTTGATGAATAAAGCATTATCATAAGTTATCTCAACCTTGTTCCATTTTGCTAATAGAAGCAAGGGTCCTGATTTAGGTATTGATTGAGAAGTGATTCTTCAATTAGATTTGCATTTGACTGAATTTAGGAGTTAATATTCTTCATTTCATTTCAGATACTGTAGATGTTTCTCACTACAGCTGCCTTTTTAACAAGCTGATAAATGCCTGTTTTGAGAGCAAGAACCTTGGGGTCTCATCTTGTGCAGTAGACTTCATGCTTTCAAAAAACATAGCTATTGATTTTTTTTTACTCAGAGGATTAATCACAGCTTTGGGAAGAAGTTCTTTGTGGTCTAAAGCTAGGACCTATTACAAAAGTAAGTTCCTTCTTAAACAATATCCTTCCCTTATGTTCTTTGAATAACATATGCTCATAACAGCTCGGTATGTTGGGGAGAAATGGGTAAGAGTGTACTTTGTAAAAACAAAACAGTACTTTCTGTGCCACTAGCAGGAATTTATTTGTAACCAAAATGTTTATTGGGAAATAGTGACAGTAGAAATTATGAATCAGTGCATACTACCTGGCATGAAATAAATTCTGATAAAATTAATTTTTTAGACTAAATTTCAGAATTTCAAAAATGTGAACCCTGAAATGGTTAAAAAGTGCATCATCTTCACTTTTTCATCTAGGCAAATTAGATTTCTTTATACTTCTGCTTAGAGCCGTGGTGGTAAAATTACTAAAATTTAAGATTTCAGAGGTCTGGCTAAGAAGTTTATCTTAACTAAAAGAAAATGCCTTTCAACTAAAAGCTAACAGTCTGTGATTGTTTACAACTCCACACTTCTGAGCTAAGATAATACCAGGTGTGCCACTCTGATAGGATCCACCAAGAGCCATTTCTCCATATTGTCACAGTATTTACTGCTTGATTCCATCTTAGAATTGTGGCGGTTAGCAAGCTACTTAAGGAGTCCACCCCTCCTGGGATGGACACTTGGCTCTTTTAACATTGAAATGATTGTTTTTCCTCACCTCTTTTTTTTTCTGAAATGCTATATAGGTTGAGTCTCTGGGATCACTTGGCAGAAGACGGGGGAGCAAAGGGGGAGATGGTGTTCAAATGTCCTCTCACTGTGATCATAGTTAACAAAGCTTTTTACATGTCCTAAATTGTACTTGGCGTTATTACGCACTTGAAGTCCACAGATTTCTGACAGAGCTTTTTAATCATCGTTGATAATACTCATTGATAAAAATAACATTTTACAACAGTGCATATTATGAGTGAATACTATTTGCTGTGTTCTCAAATCAGGCCATTTCACAGGTGAAATAGCAAAATCCATTAAGAGTTTGGGGGTTTTTTTCCCACGTTCTTAGCCACATACTGAAGAAAACAGATCTATGTTCAGTATTGGTAATCCTAACTCCTTACATTTCTGCATTTACTCTCAGGTGCTTTATCATTGGGTTGCTACCCACCACTGCAAGGAAATTTATATCACAAACTTTTGACAATTCCATCTTACTTGTCTGAGGTAGAGATGCTGTTGGCCATTGAAATGTTCCTTGTTTCAAATGCCAGTGATATTCAAAGTCCAATGGCTACTAGTCAGACTCTTCAAATAATACTGAAAAGGTTTGTTGTCAGATATGTACTATTTTTATTGTATTATCCATGTGATCATGTAATTAATGAGAGATATTATTTTCCATTGGCTGGGAAAGAGAATGCTTAGTTTTAAACTTGTTTTTAATCCTTGTTTCTAAACTGGTTATAGCACAGTACATGTTTGGGGGTGTTATTATTATTATTAGTTTTTACATGTGTGTAGCAGAAATGTAATTGTTCCAGAGTGATATTGGCCTGTGTTTCCTAACTGAACGTGTCTACCACACTAAGAGTGTACTGTATTTTCAAAAACAGGATAGCTTGATATCTTGGTGTTTAGATTCTTGTGTTGCGGTTAAGCAGTGGAGTAGAAGGGCACAGTCAAAATGTTACTCCTTTCAAAAAGCAACATTTCTTGGCTGTTTTGTGGGAAGTGCATAATTCTCTTTATAGGGGATATCTCAATATTAAATTTGTTTTCCCCTCTCTGTGAGACTTAACACCTTCAGATAAAAATGTGTTTTGTTGCTTTTTCCTTTTGTCCATAAACCACCAACCATTGTCACTAGATAATACCTAAAATTTATTTTTCAAGACCCCATTTTCTCTGAGATTGAGTGGCTCAGCATCAAAATATGAAGCTGCATAGAAAAGCTACATTTGTTAAGAAGGATGAACAGGGGCATCTCAAACTTGAGTACTCTGTCTTCCTTCCCCTCTACCCTTCCCAAGGAATACATCTCGTAATTTTGTTCTTTCGATAAATGAGAAGTTTTTTATCTCTTGTTTTCATGTGTATGGTATTGTAACTCTGCTTGTTTGCTCAGAGAATAAGTTCTGCTCTTGCAAAAACATAGACATGTCACTTAGTCACATCCTTATTCCAAAAGTGATTACATGCCAAAAATGAGTAATCCTTTTGGATTCAAGCACATATAAGAATTCCTGCTATATCCAGTTCATAAAATGGTTTACATTCCTGTACTGAATTTTCCAGCCCAGAGTCGAACATTTCTTCATGAAGCGTGCTGTGAATATTGCAGACCTACTTTGCACTGGCATTAAATCCTATTACTTTTCATTACCATAAAGTATGTTAAAAATACACTTTTTCTAACTTTTTAATTCTTCAGAATAATCGGCTAAAATTTGTCTAGAAATTAACATAATCTATTATAAGTTAAGTGAACACAAGGCACTATTTTAATGTTTTTGTAATCTTGTTGCCAGTATAAAGTGTCAGGCAAGCGACGCAGGGCCTGTATGGTACCTAATTTTGTATTTGTGAAAATTCACTTACAGATGTGAAGATCAGACAGTTCAGAATAACAGTGTCTATCAAGCAGCAGTGGAGAGACTGATCCTGGCTGCTCGTTTATCTGATCCAAAGCTTTTTCTTAAGCATATGACAATGAATGTCAATATGGAAGAAGTTTACAGCCTGGAGCTTACATCTGCTCTAAAATGGCTTCAGGAGAATATGAAATGGGCTGGGAAGGTCTGGCTGTTTCAGCAGTCAATTGTAAAGACTTTTGGTTTTTAATGGTTAAAGCGATTATTGTTGAAAATAATATTAATAAAGGCAGTTCCCACTGTGTTCAGACTGTGCCTTACTGATAACTTGAGACTTCAAACTCAAGGGGTGTTTTCAATACTTATATTGATGATGATGCAGATAGTAGCATAGAAAGAGTCATTTTTTTTCCCTAACTATGTAGATTGTCACACTGACTTACATAGATGTTTTGTAATGGCATCATTAGATAATGAGGAAGCTGCAGCCTCAGAACCTACATTCTCCTTTTTTACAGAGAATCTAGCACCGTTACTCTTCTCCCAGCAGGTGATATAAGTGCATTGACTGAGTGTACCTACTGTTCTTGAGTGAGACATTTTCCACATTGCTTCATAGTTTGTAGAATTAATATGTTTCCTTTTGTCTTCCTCACAATATCTTGTGAGGGTATTGTCCCATCTGTGTGCCCCTTAGATCTTAATTTCCTTACTCCAAAACCCCAGTAAAAAGCACGGAGAATAAAATAACTTCAAAATCACTTGAGACTTGCCTGACTTAGGATACCTTCCTTTACAGAACTGAGAGGGTCTACACAAGTTGCTCACAGCTGAAGGTTTAGTTGTGTCTTGCTAATAACTTGTATATGACTTCATATTTGTATATATGCATACTCCCACTGAAAAGGAGAACTTGCTTTTGCCCTTGATTGTGCTCTTGGAGGGAAGTGGTTTTGCCCCATTTTTTAGTTTCCGCCAACTGCATGATGAGCTGGAGGCTTCTAGCAAGCTGGTTCTAGCATTCCTGGTTCTTCAGGAATTCTTTTTCCCACCTGCAAATCCTGAATCAGATTTGGAGTATGAATTGCTTAAGTCACACTTCATCTACTGATCTGCAGCCTGAGTAAGAAGAACAAAACATTTCATATCAGAAAACTCTTATGGCAAATCAGTGAGACCTCTTGTCAAGGCTGATAACTTGCCTGAGCTCCCCACTTCTGTGGTGTTAGTTTAGATGTCTGGTACCATAAACATGCCAATAATACAGCTCTTTTGCCCTGTTCTGCATCTGCTTCAGAGCTTTTTGTGCTAAAAATTCCTGCTCTCTTGGGTATAGTAGTTTATGGGTTTTTTAAGGCTGTTCCATCATAAGTGAGATCAAGATGGTGGCATTAGCCCTCAATGTTTGAAAAATCTTTCCCTCCTTTCGGGCAGCATGAGTGTCTTCCCAGTTCCAGCAGCATTATTGCAGGTGTCCTTTGTGCCTCTGAATCATGAAAGCCATCATGATCTTAGCGCTGGATGGTTGTGCAGGGTTTTGGAGGGGTGTCGGTGTTTTTTTGTTGCGGGGGGGGGGGGATGCCACTCCAGTCTTGAGGTTCATGCCATTAATCTGATGTCATTAATCTGATTGACAGTTATTACATTCCTGACCCTCTTCAGGGTCAGATTCTGACCCTTTTCAGTACCACTGTTGATCCAGTCTGTCTGGGAGTTGCTACTGGAAGAGAGAGGATTGCATCTGATGACCACCACAATCACTGCCTTCCTCCTGTGCCACCTGTGCAGAAAAATGCAAGGATACAGGCTCTTGTGTTTTCACAGGGTATCATTCTGCTGTAGGGATCTCATCTGCTTTCCTTCTAAAAAAGGGTAGATTCAGTACTAACAATCAGATGGCATTTCTTTAAAATCCCTTTACCTCAAAATTTCTCTTAAAGAACAGTTGGGACTAGTTCAAACAGACTTTGGGTTCCACCACTGGTATTCACCAAGATGGCTCTGCCATTTGTACGGCTATCCACCTGGTCAAACCCAGTAGCTGAAAGCCTGGATAAGAAGTGATCAGGTTTCAAATGAGGGATCTAAACTGATATTCTTCCAGCCACTCCAGCATTAGTGGCAAGAGCAATTTTGGAAGGTTTCAACAAACTGAAACTGGCAGTGAGAAACTAAGTCATTTTTGCTAATTACTTCTTGTAAGATCCTTTGTAGCTTAATCTCCCTCGGAATTAGACAGAGGCTATCTGAACCTCAGCTAAATCCCACATTTCTGTAAGCGGTACCAGATGTGGCTAATACTGTGTTTGAGAGACACAGAAGGACAAAATTCTCTTAGTAATCTGTATGGCTTCAAAGCTTGGGATGTTCTAGAGACAGCATCATTTTTTCCATTATAAGCAACCTTGAATTTTCACTTAGATCATCCCCAGAAAAAAAATCCAAAATGTTGCTTTATTTTGCAGACAGAGGTTAATCATTGACCTTCTAGCTTAACTTGGAACTGTGTAAAATTTGTGCAATGTTTTGGCTCCATCTCCTGAGTATCATCTTCAGCTGATAGGATGCAGTCTCACTCATGGTTTATATTAATGAGCAAAGCAAACTCCCCACATCATTGCTCAGAAGTTTTGTTACAACTGGTGCATCTGGTGTTTCCATCAATACAGTGTTTCTCCCTATCACCATGATAAACCAGCAGGCAATTTAAACAACTTGACTGTTAAGTCCTGTATTTCACATTTTTGTACTGTCTGGGTCCACTTGAAATACCACGCAAATCTGGTCATTTTGATGTGTATCAAAATGCCAAAAAGGTTTCTCGAGCAACATGCTGAGTACCGTTTTGGTGACAGAAATTCCATGTGCTAAACAGGACAAAACTCCAATGTGAAATGGAAATGAGCCTGGAAAAATGAAAAAATGTTCCAAAGGATAAAGTTAAGTACAACAGAGACAATGCAGTTTTGCAGAGCCAGCCACTCAGTAGACAATATCCATATTTTTGCTCTTCCCCAGGTGTAAGTTACTGTTTCTTAGTAGCTGAAAGAACTTCTGTGTTTGAGATTAAGCAGCTCGATTGATATATTTAATTTTTCATATAGGAAATAAAATGTATGTTTACCTGTTTGCAGAGAGAGGCAGAAAAATGTGCAAAAAAACTTTCCCGTGCTGTGCTGAGTAGCTAGGTTTAGACAATGCTGTGTTCCTTCAGTATGTTGTTAGATGCATGAGAAATTCCCTTTGTGAAAATCTTTCTGCAGTTTTCACTGAGTACAAGGTATGCTCTTGGAAGATTACTTTTGTTAGGTATGGACAGTCTCTTGTAACTAAAACAGAATAATGTTGTTGGGAAGACGTAGCACAAATCTATTTCAAAGCATTGAAAGTTTTGAGAGTTCCTTAACCCACATCGGGAACAGAAGTGAGAAGCTGGAAATAGCTTGATAGTTTTTACAATGTTTTATAAAGAGCAGTTGGGGGGATCATTTTGGAGGAGTTGTTAAGATGTTAATAAATGTTTTTTATTCTTTATATGAAGTATCCAAAGTATCTGTGAGTCATTATTGTCATTAAATTATTTAATTCTGTTCAGATCCCTGTAATTAATATTCTTAGGTATGCAGGAGGATAGGCAAATGGCAAAGTAGACAGGGAGAGTTTAGTATCTCATAACTGCTACAAGAATCTAGAGCATGGTGTGCTGCACAAGGAGGTTAAGAATGTGTGAAATCAGTCAGACTATGCAGTTTTTCACCACACCATAGCACATAATGTAGCAAATGCTTACGAATAAATTGGACTGACACTCCCAGCTGTGGAAGTGGCCAGCTTCCAGTTGTAACTACAGACTCGAGTGGAGGCTACAGCTAGGCCTATGGGCTGTGCTCAATTCACTGAAGAACTGTAGTGGATGCTAGTGAGAGTTTCACGTAAGGAGAAGTAGTAAAATTAAATGTCCGTGGCGTAGTAATCAAACTTTTAATTACCAAAATCTTAATGCCATGCTCCTCAGCTTAGTAAAATATGGCCACATTAAGAGCAATTACTAGTTCACATTTCTGTCCTTTCATTCTCCAGATGCATCTTGCATCTTAGCGGAGGGGTTTTTTTGCAAATCCCAGGTCTACATTTTTCAGTCTTAACCCCTTCTGCATAACCCTTTTCTAAAATGACTAGTATGATGAGTAGTATCAAAAATTAATGCTGACATCATTGGCCTCAGAGCTCCTGTGCCATCGAGTGTGCTGGGACTGGAGGAACTGACGCCACTTTTTGACCATCTTCAGACCAAGGACCAGAACCGAAACAAGGGAGCAAGGAGAAAATGGCTCAGTTGCCGCTTGTAGCAACTTTATTGTGATGCTTAAAATTCTCCTTCTGTTAGGGGACAAGAGGTAGTCAAAATACAAACTTTTTCAGGTGTTAATTTTATCTGGTATAAAACAAGCTTTGCATTTGGAAGTGTCTGCGCCGCTCTTGCTCAGCCAGTGGGATGTATTCTGGGAACTGATAAGGAATAATGAGACCAGATAAAGCCACAAAACTACTCCCATGGAATACTGCAGTGATATTCATGAACAGTAAGTTTTGAGACCTTTAGCTAAAAAGCAGGAATTCATTCCTGTGCTTGGAGGGGGGTGGGGGGGGTGGGGGGGTGGTGCTCTGGCTCTGTTTCAAAATACATACCTGATGCAGTGGAGCTGGTATCTGGCAGTGTCACCTGCTGATTACCTCTCCCAATTTATTTTATTCCTCACAGAGTTAAAAGAAATCCCAGGTGAAATGAACAGCACGCTTTTCTGTTGAATCAATTAAATTTATTTTTCCATCTGCATAATTATGCAACCAATTTGCTTACATAACTGATGGTTTCTATTGGGAAGCGAAAAACATGCTGCACATTATGGAAATTATGCAAATCCCCCAAGGGCTGTGAGAGCGTTAACTTGATTTAAAGCTTCACTGAGCTACAGATAGTTCCTAAACCACGTCAGTCCTCTTTTTAACCTTTTCTGCCTGGAAATGCAATAGCCTGTATGCAAATAACTCCAATCCCTAACAGTTAATCTCCCTTTGTTCTGAAACTCGATCAGCAATAGACGTTTTTGCTCTGAGGTTGCACGTCTCTGCATCAGCTGCTCCTTGACACCGACTACCTTGGAAGAAAAACAGACGTATAAATAAATGTACGTGTCCATCGACCGTTTGCAACTGCAGGAGAACAGCGTTTGCTTCTCCCCTTGGGAC